CTACAGTATAATTCTTTAAAAGTTGTTTACATTTTTAGGCACTCTAGCGCTGTAGAATGTCTGTCATATTTATTACCGTCAGTTATAAGAAGAAACTATTAGGTAACATGTACGATTAAGACTGGAGAGCACAATTTGCTGTGGTCCTGGGGACCATCAAAGCTGAAGCTATAGAAAATTTGAGTCAGCTAGCTCTGGACTTTTAGAATAGCAATTAACGACCCCATAGGCCATAGATCAAGAAAGATCGAAAAATCAAAGTGAAAAACAAAAAAAAAAACAAAGAAGAGGTAATTCTCCTTCACATGAACAGTGTTACCCCTCCTTATGAGCATACACCATCAGATTCCATTCCGTGGTGCTAAAAAGATGAGCGACAATTGTAAGAAATCAGTTTGTACAAAGACAGAAGCATCTGATCCATGGAAGACTTAGAATATTGTCCATAAAAATCACTATCACTCATGAGTGGGAATGAATAAAGTACTTTCTTGTAGCCGTTAGACCTAATTACAAAGTGAAAAACAATTAAGATTGTCTTGTAAATGAATTTTCCGAAATGTGTCTGGTTGGTTAGGGAGGGTGATTTTACTCGAAGAAAACATTATTCCAGGCGGTACCTTTTGGATTTTTTTTGCACTAAAAGTGGAAACAGCTCTGAAATCATTTTCATAATTTTGATAAAACTCTAATTTACAATCTACACCGCAAAAATGTACAATAGCTTTTGCTATTCCTGGGAAAAAAATCAATGAACAACAGTTGATATTACATTAATGGGGAAAGATACAAAGAAGGAGCTAACAAAGGAAAAGACCTGCCAAGAATGACGAGCTCAGAAATTGGTACTTATCCATTGAATAGCTTCCTGAATGGCCCATCCTTGCGATCTTTTGCAGCTTCTGTTAAAGCGAGGAATCTCTTAAAGCCAGTAGTAGCTGCACCTCTTCCAAGTGCAGCTGCTCTGGTCAGCACATCTTCTCTTGAAGTGATGGCCCCAGGTGATGATGCTGCGTTAGTTATGGCCGGTGCTATTGAGGTGTTTGGAGCAGATGGTACAACTGAAGGGGCCATAATGGTCGGCTGAGAGATACCTGACCCACGTTTGTTGAAGTCATCCAGTATGCTCTGCTGATCAGCTTTTTTCAGGCCCTGCAATCACAAAGTGCATTCAAGACATTGTGTACAAATGAGAAAAGCATGAGGAGAATCGACAAACAAAAAGTGAGCAGCTAGCACATTAGCTCTCGTGCCCCAGGATATGAATGAAAATTCAAGATCACTATAAAGCTCTCTAAAGTAAAGTGATTGACTTCTCAGAGCTTCTTGCTGCAACTTATACCCTTTATACTAAAGTGAACTGAAGATTAGAGTCTCCGTATCATTGACACTGATTTTGGGTTATAATCTCTTAAATAATCTTGAAGAGTACTTAGTCAAAGCTAAAAACAAATAGAGTATGACCAAGCAAAACCATGTCTAGGACATATTCGTCTAGCATGTTAAGCACCAAAATTGTCAGTTTGTACTCTATAGCTAGAGTTATATAGAGCACTAAGAACTGAAGGTAACAGCCTAACATGATCATCTAATTTAAAACTTTAATCCCAGTCCCATGCTCTAAATGGAAAATAAAGAGTTCACCAAATTGCTAATCTCTTATAGCAACCTCAGAAATAAAACATTTTAGATTGAGAAAAGAGCTGGAGAATAAAATGAAGAGTGGAACCTTAAGCTCCAAAAGCCGCTGAAATTCTGCAAGTGTTCCCTCTGGCAGCAGTGCACAGTATGTGTCTGCCACAGAATCTATTGGAGATAGTATGACCTAAAAACAGACCAAATTCAATATACTATGTAGACCTTCAATATATAATAACATCATTTTTTGAGACTAAACACAAAGCTCATCAATCAATGACCTTCAATAATGCTTCTGCTTTGCTCATCTCACGACTGACAAATTTAGAATAGCTAGCAGCTCCCGCTGTCTGTTCAAAATAGAGAGGTTTGCAAAAAGTTAAAGCCAATGTTGTTGTTTAAGTTTTGTACCAAGGGCATTCAGAGATTTAGCAATGGTTTTTAGTGGAGCAATAACTTCAACAAGACGAACTCAGTGCGCAAAATATTAGTGACAATGGAAAAGACGTCCTGCGAGGATTGAGAGATATTATAACTGTTTTTTCTGTAACAGCGTTGTCTCATATTCATTGGGAGACTGAATGTTTCAAACAAGCAGTGGCCAGCTTTGCTTATTCGGCTTTCTACGACCAATCATATGGACAATTTCAGCTATCAGCCACTTTATTTCACCAAAACTACATATTACATTATTACTTCAGGAATGAAGTGCAATTACTTGCTTGCCTTAAAGTAAAGAAATGGAAATTTAAAGAGGATGACAGAGCTGGGGACAAAATGTCAGTTTAAAATATAATTAAACAGAAAAAAAAAATCAATAGAAGGATCCATTCTTCAGAAATGCTGGCAAGCTTACTTGTTTTCCAAGTGAAGGAATTTCCAGCAAAATAGTCTTTACTGCTTGCGTATCCAAAAGCATCTGCAATAATGTCATGCCAGTTAAATTAAAATTACATTAAGATGATCACCATTTGATAAGCTACATGGCGCTGACATTGCAAAAATTATTAAGCCGTGAGCTAGTGAGCTCAAACTGCTCTAGTAGTAAGAGAGCCAGCTTGGCTCACCCCACAGTCAAGATTTATGCTGATGAGTAAAACTTTATAATTGAAGTGATAGTAAGTCAAGATTATCAGTACTTGCTGTGCTCCAGTCTCTGAAATCTGTTTGCATTTGAATATATTGTGAAAGAACCGTGGACCGAGAGACGACGCAAGCTGCATAATGATGAAAACATGAGCTTCTTCTTCTTTCTTTTTTTTCTTTTTGCGAAATGATGCAGAGATCAAGGTATTTACATAGGTAAGCCTTGAAATTTAAAATAATTGCTTGAAATTGAAGACAATTTTTACCTTATCCAGAAAGAATTGGAAGTAAATCGGAGAGAGAAGGCTTCCGAGCACAGGAATGCTACTGGTAAGGATCGAATTTATGCCATTGACGTACCTGCAGGAAATTTACAAGCTTCAACAAATCATAAGAAATGTTTCTGTCAGAAGGTGGAAATGGAGAAGGCAATCAACGTACTCTGACTGATCACCAACACTTTCAAGAGTACTCCACGGAACACGAGTCATTGCAGCCATCTCAGAGTCAAACTTTGTTTCTATTCCGTGCACTAGTGTAATCAATGATTTTGTAATAACTGCTGAAAATTCATCCTGAAAATGCATTCAAACACTAAGCAGTGGCACCATCTAAGAAAATTTACAAATCAAACTAGTAGAGCATTTCTGTACCTGTACTTCAGACATATCCACTCTATCTGCAAATTGAGCATCAATCATCTTTGAGACATTATCTGCTAATTCACCACACTGGTAACATGATAAAATGGAGTTCGGCATGAGTTTGAAGAGACAACAGAAAAGAAAAGAGTATTAGGAATTTCTTTGTTAATTTCTATGACGACTGTTCCTCATCTCCTTAGCTTGTAAATTCTAATTTCATTAACCCCAACGAACTCAAAAAAATGCTTCAAGGAAGGCATCTAGTTCTGGTCCTTTTCTGATCAATGGTTAAAGGAATTCTGATTGAGCATGCACAAGACGCATAACTGGATGTGTTATTAAATAAAATTCCTAAATTACCAGTACAAGGAGAAAACTGACCGTTTTGTGACAATACTCTGCAGTATTTACTATGTAGCAGATCACCCTTTCATCCTTGTCCGATGTCTGGAAAAAATGTTTCATAAGAAGTAAGTGGAGAATTTAGTAGTAGAAAACGATAACTAAGCCTCCAAATGAGAATTCAGAATATACCTTTATCTGTCCTTCAATACCCGTGGCAGCTGCAACAATTCCTGAACCACCCTTTGGCAATCTAGAGAAAAGCTTGGTAGCATAAGCTTTAAGAACTTTTTGAAATGCCTATTACAAAGAGATCAAGGGTATTAGCTAATGTAGACCCCTGGCCTAGTCACTAATCTGGAAGTGTAAAGCCTCTTCACTCATATCAGTTTTGGGACATTACATCAATGAATATATTCTAGAGGTATTGCAAATTTATGCTAATGAATGACATAAGATGTCATTTCAAGTTTAGAAAGGCTAGGGTCCTAACCCTTTATTACCGAGGTGAATCCATGCCAAACTTGATCATCTGATATTTCATTTGTATGTCAAAATGGATTAAACTCTCCTCCTCAAAAAGATAAACTACCCTCACCCTTCTTTTCCTCAATTCTCTTTTTCCTTCCCTTTTTGTTAGCCTATAAGAGGGAACATGGGAGATCACACTAATTATAGAGAGGTTCTAGTCAGCTCTTAAATTATTATAAACTTTTCTTAATGAACTTTCACAACAGAAGAAAGTATACTAGGCCAAGAGGCACACAGCAAGCATATAATTTTAAAAGCACCTTAAAGAGATTAAACAATGTCTGGTTTTTCGTCAAAGCACTGCATCGCTTCAAGCTCCTCCTGATGATTACAAAGACCTTAAGAAAATAAAAAGAAACAAGTTAGTGCAAGCAGAACAGGTGACCCAAAAATTGTCTAATGTACCATCTCCGCAATCATATCTTCTCTATTGATTATGCAACATTTCTGCTAATATATTTGCTCCATAGATGATGCAGCATTTGATGACATAGAAGCTCAACTAAGTATAAAAGTAATCCCAAAAACTGTTTGAATTAATGTGCACCTGATGCGGCACTACAGCAAATACTGAATACCTTACCTTAATGCTGCTAGATAAAATATTAGTCTGACTTCCCTCCTCAATTTCCCACGTCTCTTCCTAAGTATGAGAAACAAATATTAATTAGTAGGACAGATCTATTTAAGGAAAAGTAACTGTTATTGCTATTGACACTTATACCGGCATTTCTTTCTCCAAACTGTCCATAAGAGTCTTCTCTTCTAGCTCTACATAAACTGACAAGTGAGGTTCAAAGCACGATGAAATGATCCCTCGGAAATTGAACTGCGATGTAAAAAACATAATATTATTCACCTGCTTGAAATCCGTAGAAGAACAAAACTGAAAGGGTGATGTTTAATGTCAGCAAACTTCGGAAAGACTATTAAGTGTGCATGCTCGCAGAGCACCAATTTGTGTTCCATAATAATATGTCCATATAAATGTAATACTAGAAATCTCTGCATGCACTATGAAAGCATGTCTGCATTCCCTTTCATCACAGCTTTTGTGCAGTAAAATGTTACTGAAATGGATTTTCCCATCTCTGAATTGACGCAATTTTATGAAATAGCATCTCTTATATCAGGTTAAGACTATTAAATTATCGAATTCTGACTAAAAGAATGTGTTCAGGAAAATTATCCCAAATCTTGTGCAGAACGCAACTATGACAATTAATGAATGGAAGGATGCCCCATCACCATATCAAAACTTTACTGTAATGGTCCAAGTAGTTCATCCCTCTCATAAGTCAGAAGGAATGTGACAGAAGATAGAGATGGAGACAATCATGCATCTGAGTCCAACAAAATCCTAGTATTGTACGAATACATGGGTGATCAATAGTAAACCATTTGTAACACCAACAACCAATGTTGTCAAGAACCCAGAGAAAATACATACCCCAGCTCCCGGCACTGATGAATCTTTTTGTCCATCTTGTTCCTGATAAGACACGCAAGGCAGTATAAGCGACTGTACAAGTTAGCATTATCATATCCAACTTGCCATGATGCTACAACTAAAAGAAAGAAACTCAGACACATACGTCATGTTGACTACCATCATGAGCAGCAAGCTTTTTCTCATATTTTTTCCGAATGTCTGAAACTGTCTGGCTCTTTTTTCCGCTCCTTTCTGTTTCTTCATTGTCATCTACAGCATCTTTACTGCGGGTTCCACCACCAAATTTCTCTGCTAACTCCTCTTCAAATTCCAAAGTACGCTGCAGAGCCTAGAAGTGCACCCACAAGATTTTTCAAACAATACAAGTGAAAATCAACATAAAGACAGATGTTGATGTGTAAATAATATGTAAAAGATAAAACAGTGAAATTGCTTTTCCAGCTTCCAATCCAAAGTTAATTTCCTCTGATGAGTGATCCATATTCTCTGTCTGCTGCAAAAAATGGAGGAAAAGAGAACTTTCCAAAAGGGAAGAGAAACAGGTCTTGGCGTGTTTATGCTTCTATTTTGTGAATAACGAATGTGTTGATTGATCGGTGGATAAGCGCAGATTTGGTAGGGCTTAAGGAATAAAGTACATATGGACAGAGTTTTATTATGAATTACCATTTTCTAGTTTTCTGAAGGCTTGGTAGAGTGTGGTAGCAAAAATTAGTCCATTTAGTCAAAAGAGCCAAAAGCTAGTATTTTCTCTAGCATCAAATATATATCAAAGAAGGATTTCAAGAATACAAGTGAGCTAAGAAGCTACAATGGAGATTAGAAAATCCAGACGTAAAGCTTTAAACAACCTGTATCAACAGCTAGAGATGTGGGAAGTGGAGACAGAAATGTATAAACTAGCACGACCTAGCCAAAAGATGGGTAAAGACTTCAACCAAGCTAAGAATATTCACGAAAATCCCCAACAAGTATTGACGTGAGATACTAAAATCAAAAAAGAAAGATGGAAGTAACTTCCTGAATTGCTCAGTACATATAACAAAGATAACTAAACAGATCTTTATCCATGACAATGAGAAACATTAGATACATTTGCAGAATTAGGTCTGCTAAAGTGAAGTAAAAAAACAGAAGAAAAAAATATAAGAGCTAGAAAAGCATGTGGTCTAAATAGTGCTCTGCATAAGTGCCTTGGAGTAGATTGGCTAACCAAGCTACTAATGTTATATTAAGGAAAGATGCCTAATGACAGGGGAAAAAGTACCTAGCTATCAATAAACAAGAACAAAGGAGATCTCTAAAGTTGAGTGCAATATCATGGTATTGAACTTATGGATCATTTTTTAGTTGAGATTTTTACGCTCTCAGTCACCTGGCCCAAGCTTATAACAAAAACGAGCCATGTTTTTCAGCCTTACCCGGATTACCCCATATTTTATATAACTTGAAAGCTATGTCACTTCCCCTATTTCTCTTCTTCAACCCAACCACCTCTTGATTGTTAGTTGACAAACTTGATTATTTGTTGTGTTTGGAGCTCAAATTGTGGTTAAGGTACTGATTTTATAAGATTTGGGTGGTAAAAGTCCGACTAAAAATTTGGAGTGTGTTGTTTAAACTTGCTGGAAATAGTCTAAGAAGGTTGTCTACAAAATTTGAAGTCATTTGTTGGAGATTTGGACTGGTTTTGAACAAGAATTACAGCTGAAAATTGCAAAAACTTGTTCGTCTCTACAACAGCCGACATGTTATACACTTTTATACATTATTATAAAAGGTTTACATTGTTTTTAGGGCTTTTAACACATTTGACCGCTTGGCCAAAAATATTTTCAGCCCCTAGCCAATATACATTAGTATATTTTTTTTTTTTTTTTTGGGGAAAGGTAACAACTGGCCAATATACATATATTATACACTAATTATGAATAATCAATAATATATACATTTGCTGACTTTTTTTTTGAGCGAGCGTCAATTTAAGTTAATTTCTCTTGTTTTTTACAGGAGTGTAAGTACTGTACAAATTGTAATAATGTACAAGGGTGTATAAATACTGTAGCAAATTGTCTATGCGTGTGTAAACTGAAAAGTGTGGCTACGTGAGTGCAAAGTGTTGTGTTGGCTGTATACATTGAAAATTCCCCTTTTTATTAAGGATATTAAACTTATAAATCATACAACAAAACTTTGGGGAAGCGCGATAGAGCATAGGCTAAGTGCTAGCCAGCTGAATGTAGTCAATGTACATAAATTCTGATGGGAAACCTAAACCAGATGTAATCCAGCCAGAAAAAGCAAGTAACCTTTTGGTCTAACAAGAGTGCCTTCAGTAGCTTTTAAAGTCAGTTTCATCTCTTTAATTATGTTAGGAGCAGCAAGTAGTGTTTACTTTTGTCTTATCGAGTAGTTCCAGTAAACTCAAACCCATCATTGTTGAAGTGTCTGTGATCTTGCTGCGCCTTTAATTCCTTTAACGTGATATTTTATAGCCTTAGAATCATTTGATCAATGTCATGCTACTAAAACAGGGTACCACGTCTTGGAGACAAAAAGTTATTTTAGGTCTCTAAATCATTACCTGTGCTTCTAAAATCTCTCGAGCAGATTATGAATGAAATACTTTGGTCGTGTTATCCTTTGAGAAGTGTATCACCCTCACCCTTTTCTCTCGATCACCCCTAGTAACCCTATCTTCCTACCTGTTTACTTCATTCTTTCTACCTAAGTTGCTTGGACCCGGATGCGGGTGTCCGATACGGGTGCAGATCTAAAGGTCGGATCCTTCATGATCTAAATTTTAAGATTCGAGCGTAGGGGTCCAGGTACGGATACGGGAGCGGGGATTCGGCTAAAAATAATTCAAATATATATATAAAAAAAATTATAAAAATATGTCTACATTATGAGACACTATGTGGAAAACTTACAATGTACTCCGAGAAGGAGAAAATATGGATCAAAAGGAGAATACGGGAAGGAGATAAAAAGTAAAAGGACCAACAAAGAAATTTCTATATACAAGGTATTCCGTTTTCACCCTAGCTTTTGTGTTGATTTCAGAAATCATTGCATTTGTTACGAATTTCTCTATCGATTTTGGTTGAAGTACCCAAAATCGGTTAACCATATCCGGTACGGATCCCACACCTATGTCGTGTCAACACGGGTGCGGCACCGAAAATGAAGAGTCCGAGCAACTTAGCCTTCTACAACTACGTCAGCTTTCCTTGTAGTTTGCTATTGTCTACTACCGCCCACTATAATCTTGTTTCTGAAAGTATTATGCTAACTATTACTGGTAGTATCATTGTTTTCCAGAAGCGACTGGTGCATCATTGCTGCTTGTCATGTTTTATACATACAAATGTTACCCAAAGGCACAGTTGGGACATATGTACCCTATGTAAGATGAACATATTTACAATTTTCTAATAATATTATATCTATGAAAATATATTGAGCATGCTTTAGTTTTATTTGCTTTTTACTCCCGCTAACAAGACGCATACGCAATATGGTTCTATTTTAAACCTCTGTTTGGGCCTTCTTCAGTGGTAATAGCTTACAATAACCTGTTGAAGAACCAAAGTATGAGCTAAAATAAGAAAACTCAAAATTAAAGGATGTCTTGATCACATTCTCTAACCAAAACCAACCTACGAGACATAGATGCCAAATCCGCCTTCTNCCTGATGCAGCCGAAAGTATATCCATGCACAGAAGCCTTTTCTATCCAAGGATATGATTGTTTTGAACATGAACGCCACACTTGATATATCCAAATCATTTCGACATTTGCTCTATCCAAAGCTTCTTTCTGCAGTCCATTTTCACCTTAATTCCTATCTTTTGCCTCAAGGAAAGGCTAGATAATAATGGAGAATAACACCCATACTCTTTCTTGAAAACTCAACACCTCGTTTGGGTTTTATTATGCAAGAGTCTTTTGGTACGCGCTTTGCTTGTGTACTCTAATTTAATGATATATAATTTTTGAAAATTATATAACTAAAGTATTTGTGTTTGAGTTTTATAACAAAAAATAAAGAAAAAAGTGTAACTTTTTGAAAATGATGAATGTTAATCTTTTTTAGTTAGCTCAACAAAGAAAAAATTGGCCTATGATAACTTTGTGTATAAATTAAAAGTTAGTGATCTTTTCCCTCTCTGACTTTGTCTAGGGAACAATCAGCCACAATTTTAATCCATCTAAGAGATGTTTGCCACCTTCATTATTTTATTAAGATTTTCTTTTATGCTTTATTTTCTATTTCATATAAAAAATGTTACAAAATATACATGTAATTAAAATTTATTACTGTGTAAAAGTTAAGTGATGATTCATAACTAAGTTACAATTTGTGTTGGTTAAAATTAGAATGTAAACTTTGAATAAATTATTATTTAAGACTTTGAAGTAAATCATATATCCGTTGCTCCTATTTCCAATCATGCAAAAACAAATAAGAATCCCTACTGGGGTTAGAGAAGCACATTTATGGAAAGAAAAACAAAACCCAAGTTGGCCGCATCAAAAACAAATTAAAAGCATATTAATTATCTATACTATATCAATTTTAAAGTTCTAATTTACCTAGTTTAATAAGGAACAAATTAATAGCCAAAATTTTAGTTGATTTTAAAGTCCTAAATATTAGGAAAGTAACTTAAATTATAATTCTATCCAATGTGAAATCTGTTTTTAAGGGATAAAAAAGTTGAACAATATTTTGCTAAGGGGCTTCGTGCTTCTATAGATATAGATTTATACTAATAAGGGTATTTTGAAACAGATATAAGGATTTCATCTAAAATGTCTCATAAATTGAAAGACATGGAGGAAAACCGAACACACAAGGAAAATCCAAAAGGATCTTAAAGGGCAATAGTTGTTTTCGTTATTATTTCTCTAGGACAAGACTCGGCACTGCTTCTTAAACAGTGTGTCCAAGATGAATTACCTTAGAAGCCAGTAAAAAGCAGACCAAAGGAGCATGAGATGAGCCATGTGTGAATTAGGTATTCATTGCCAAGTTGCGATGCAGTTACGTCAAACATCAGGGTTAACTGACAAATGACAACAATGCTGACAAAACAAATGGATTTCACTCTACTTGTATTGGCAGGTTACTTGACTGAAAACATCAAAGTTGAGAAGATGAACAACAAAATTTACAACAGCTGATGGAAAAACGACTGCTAGCAGTGTTAACAGCAGCAATGATTGAAGTAGAATTAGTGTCAGATGATATTTTATCAGGACTAGGATTTCCAGGGAGACAATTAAATCTGATACAAATATTAAAAGCAAGATTCTAAATTTTTCACACACAACGTTGAAACATGTTAGATTTTGCTAGAAGGCCACAGTTTGATTTCATGCACGTAGCATGAAAAGAGAGAAGTTCAAAACGACTAAAGCTTAGCCAACAATTGAGAGAAACTTACCATCAACAAGGTCGCAACATCTGGCTTTTCTTTCATACTAACAAGGATTTCCACAAGTTGAGACCTAGAATACAAATAAGAGAGTGAGATAAAAGAGAGGCTGAGACAGTAGGAGGAAAGCAAAGAAGATAACATCTTATTAAGGAAGAGTATGCAAATAAAAATCTTTACAAAAAAGTTATTGTGGTTAAATGTTATTCTACTAATGATAAAAGGGCATTATCAGTTTGAACAGGGCAAGTTAGTGTGCTGTTGGAATAAATGCCAAGAGACTGCGTGTTTTTGCTAGTAATAACCATGATGATACCATGGAAAAGTCCTTTGCAAGGTTAACGAAGCAATGTAATTTGAGAAAAAAATTCCAGGAACATGTGAGCTTTTCAGGTATATAAGATGCTGGCGAGGAATCACACAGGAGAATTCATTTCAACATGGTTTGTCACAACTGCTTAGATTTGTCATATTATTCATGCTTTCTCCGAGGGCAAAGAAAAGAAAAAGATAAGGTGAAACGATAATAAAATATCCGACCTTGTCAACTTGCAGAACTGGATACAAAGCAAATAATCCACATGCCATGAACGAGGGAAAATTTTCCAAATCTCCTCATTTGTTCTTAGACGACGCTTGATCCAAGCATATCTTCTTTCAGTCTTGTCCAACTTAGCTAGTTCTGCAGTTGCAAACGCGATAGGCTATAAGAACCACAGACATCCAACATGTTATAGATCAATCAAACTCAACAATAACAAAAGATAAAGTAAGTTGGACAAACCTGCTCCTTCAAAAATCTGCTGGTACGAGGTAAGCTCTCTATTACAAAAAATTTTCACCAATTCTTCTCTAACAGAAGGTTCGAGAGCATCAACAACTAAGCATGAATCTGATAACTGCTGTAGTAGATTGCTTTCTTCTGTCTCCTTCCCTGTGCCTAAGCTGTAAGCGACGAAAGGAAGTTAAAAGACCATGGAAACAAGAAGGAAAAAAGACATGCAAAAAATCCAAACTGGAACTTTCACTTTATTCATTTCTTGAAAAATATCAGAATAAAACTCTGTATCTTTTGTCATTATTTTTTTTCTAATTACAAGTATCTTTTGTGATTAATATCCCCTTGCCAATATTTAAACAGAAGCACTTCTTTTACAAGGTGCTTCACAAACTGGTGAGGCTGGAATGCGAGTGGTCATGCTAAAAATATTTAATAACAAGAATTTGGAAATTTTAGTGAGCTCTGATTACTTTAATTTGGAGAAAAGAGTGCCAGAAACTTTAGTCACCATCTCTTCTAGTAGGTGCTTCACAAACTAATGTGAGTGGTCATGCAACAGTACTTGAAAAACAAGAAGAACAAAATTAAGAGGTTGGCAGTGTTTTACAAGTTTTGATTACTTTAATTTGGATAAAGAATAACAGAAACTTTAGTTTAACTAAAAGAGACAGATTAAAAGAATAACTGGGGCATTTCCTATGAGTGTCATACCACCAGAATCTGACAACAGAAAATTCCATGAGTTCTACGCACAATAGATAACCACAGATAAGTCAGATGAACAAGTTTAACTAGACATGGAAAGCCAGGTAACTACAACTACAGTAACTTTCTGGAGGAGAAAGAAAAATCTTTCTTCTGTCTTTCCTTTAATATGTGAGAGCTCTTATCCAGAAGAACCGATCACTACAACTTTTAAGAGAAGTACACATGGACAGAATGTTGATTCTTGAATTGACAAAGGTACATATGAACTACCAAGGCAGATAAGAAGACAAGTTCGTTGAAGCCAATCTAATAAAGTGCCATATTTTCTTTTCTAAGAAGTATTTGCCAATCACGTTCAAGAGNAAACAAAAGGCAGAAATATGTTTACCATACAATTGTAAGGATTTTTAGTGGCGATTAAACTAGAGTTCCAACTCATTACAGAGCAAACATAACGTTTGTGTAGAAACGTATAATTATAAAACACCAGCATCCAGATGAAGCGTTAAGACGAGTGAAGCCTATAATCATACACTAACATTGACCACATAAACGTTAAATTCGTGAGCCGAAATAATAAAATGAAACAAAAACCTCCTTTTATACACCACAGTACTGTAAGAACAATGGGTCAACACAACACTTTTCTTATACGATCCAGCTCCTCTAGTTTAGCAAGCAAGCATAATCTTGCAATAATAGAAGTTTCAAGTATGACTAAAGCTAGTGCAGAACATGCATAGTTGTTCCAACAAGCAACAATTATAGTAGCATGTTGGCAGCAATGGTAATTGCTGAAGGTTAGTGAAAAGGTTACGACGAGTAACAGACAAATACCTCAAGCTGTGCAGCTGCCTCTTTATAGTGACGTTTTGATGCCATTACTTGAAGTTGCTCTACCGCAGAAACTGTTATACGACAAATGAAATGTGTTGAGATGATGTATCTATTGGACTAAAGAAGGCATGCATAGATGCTCTTTGTTGATAAGTCAAATTACATAACTTCTATGATATAAAAATAGAAATTATATTCCTTTTCTCGTTATCCATGATCTGCATTTGTGAGGAAATTTGAGCTAGATCATGCTCTTTAATAACACACACTTGAATTTCTTCGTCTTTTCACGGCTAGTAAAGTATGTGATGCTGGGGAACGTGATGTCACAGAACATAGATAAAGATCTTTGTGCAAAACGAACTATGGGAAATCAGTTTTTAAAGTTCCCATTCATTCCGCTTATCTATTTACACCTACAACCCTTACCTCTACGAACTTTAATTTTTTAATCAACCATTTGACCAAAGTAAATAGCCTTTAAAATCATACCAAGGTGATTCAAATGTACCAAAGTGCTAGATGAGCCGCATCAAGTAGTGTTCCAAATGGAATAAGATTGTTATGTCATAAGGCATGTGGGATAAAATAACCAAACATATTGTTCTGATAATTTTATCCTACATTTGGTTAAATTTTTTATTCGGGTATAAGCAATCTTGGGATTAGTTATACCAAAATTGCAGCATTACTTTATAACACCCATTCACACTCTGTGGTAACGATCCCAGGATTACTAATCCCGGGAAACAACAAAATCATACATTTGGCTTCTTCAAAGCTCTTCTTCCAAAGTCTATTAAGAAAGCCAAGATCAAAATTGGAAATAAAAGTTTATATAGGGTAAAACCAAATACATGTTTTATATTATACCCTGTATATCCCATTTTAGTACAAAGGAATATGCGTAGTTTGACTTTTAGCACCCTTAGGGGTCGTTTGGTTAGGAACAAATTATCCCGGGATAATAATGAAGGTACTATAATACAGGAATTAAATAATGACGGGATTATTTAGAGAATATATACTTTATTGGTAGAGCAACTTCAAGTAATGGCATCAAAACATCTACCAATAAATGTATATATCCACTAAATAATCCCGTCATTATTTAATTCCTGTATTATAGTACCGTCATTATAATCCCGGGACAACTTGCTCCCAACCAAACGACCCCTAAGGTGCTAAAAGTCAAACTACGCATATTCCTTTGTTTTTCTTTTTCATAATCACTCCAAAAACAATAGACTATCACTTTTCTCCTCTCTTTTCTTTTTTTAGAGTCCATCCCTCTCTATTCCTCTCTTTCAATCCAAAACATCCATAAACGAAAGTCAAAGTATTTTCTTGTTGCACCATAACACGAATGAGCCATCTTTACTTTCTCTCTACGTGAATAAGTTGTGATCCAGCCATCTAGCAAAGTCTTGAGCACTTAAAAGGATATAGAGATTAAAGGAGGTGCAGAACATTTCACTTACACTCAAAGGTTAATTCCTGAAAAAATATGGACAAGATTTGATTTTACATACTCATGGAAAAATGAACGCTTAAGTCTCTAAATGAAAGTCTCTCCACACCAATTCATTAACCCACAACATCTACCTTGCTTAAAAGGTAACAAACCACATGCTCAAAATTCGAAAGATTTTTTAACCCAAACAAGCGTAGCATCTAAAGAAAAGCCTGTGCAGACAGAAGATTCCTATTCTATACATAATAAAATTCAAACACCGCTTTCCACAGACAGCAAAGTGCATATAGTATCTGAAATGATAAAAGATTTACTTGTTGCTTCAACAATATACTTTTCAAGCATGGAGAAGGAAATGATTTGCCAGCAGTTTTCTTACAAGTGCAAAACCAAAAAAAAATGCAAAAGAAGAACCTTGACAATGAAAGATGACACTAACCTAGCATGGTAAGGCGGTGAAGGGCAGTAATTGTGGTTGTTATGTGCTTCTTTGCAAAATCCAATTTTTTAATATCGCGACATATTTCTTGAACCATTGTTTCACTTTGCTCTGCTTTGGTTTTAATTTCTCGAATCTTATTCATGAGTTCCTGGTTTAAAAAAGTCAAATAGTGAATAAGAAACCCCCAAAATATAAATAGTAATATAAGATGATTTTACTATATCTAGAGCCAATAGATTTTATTCTTCACACAATTAAAGTTTCTGCCATACAACAGAGACGAGAGAAAATCTAAAGAACAGACCTGCACAGCACTCGTAGCTGCAGCAAGATCTTCTCTGGCTTTGGTTCCAGAATTACTCTGAAAAAATGAAAGGCCAAAATATAATGACTACATAAATCAGAAAGCAAATATCATGAAGCTTCATTGATCAGCAAAAATATTGATAGCAATTCATTAATTAGGTGATCTAGCTGAATTTAACATTCTACGTTTCCCATCTCTCCTATCTCTCTCTCTCTTACCTTCAAATTGACCAAATAAAAGAAAAATAAATAAAAAGAAATAAAAGCATCATACGATGTGGTGAAAACATTAAAGTACTTTTAAAACAATCTCAGAGGTATAGAATTTACAGTCCAACCTGCATTTTGGTACAGATTGTCCAAGAAATTTTTCTTTTGATGAAGTAATACTTTCATTGATGTGTGGGAAAAACACCCTATATAAAAGCGGTATACAAAAGGTAGTGAATCTAAACAACAGATTGTCCAAAATTATCCAGGGGCGATCTTCTTTTCTTATAATTTTTTTATACTTATGAAAACAAAAGGTGAATTACAAAGAACTGAATACATGATCTAAAAGTCTTTTCTGTCTTAGCCTTGTCACTAGGGCCACACTGTTAGCAACAGTGGGCAATCAGATAACCACAAATTGCATATAAGGACCTCAAATAAATGCAAACATTTTTTTTTTTGATGAAATAAGTTGTATTTCATTAACAAGAAGCATCCAGGGGATGCATAGGTTAACAAAGAAGGGAAATATCAGTTTGGATGCAAACAGTTTATACAATTTATCTGACAGTTGTTGCAAATTCATCTAGCTTTCGTCATTCATGAAAATGTTTGGATGTTATTCAAAGAGCATCAATTTTTCACTTGATAATTGTCAACCATGATCAGAAACAAAAATGGAACCACATATGACGGATGTTCAAAATAACTTATCACCTTTTTAACATTATCACTTATCGCAATATGGAATGAATTGGACATGAGTAGAGTAGAATGGATATAGAAGATTATATTCCCCACATCAGGTAGTTTGGAATTGAGGCATAGTTGATTGATTCATAGCTTGTTCCAATATACAATGAAACTTTTATCTTTTAATTTTACATGGTGTAACATCAGAGAGTAGTTCTTCTAAATTTTAAGAATAGTCAAGATTTTGTCAAATAATTAAGTACAAGAACAATGAAACTACTGATGGGATTTTGGTGTCTGTTTACACTGAGCTTTCTACTTGAGGCATCAGCTTTTGCAGACTAAAGGTTATAATCAGCATTCATATATAATGATGTACTCATATATTAATATTTGTACCCGAAGACAAGCAAGACAAAGGATAGAGAAAGAGATATATAAGTGACAAGAAATTCACCTGTTGCCGAACAGCAGTCAGTATTTCAGCATCAACACGACGAATTTCACTATGTATCTTCTGCATAAGGGGCTCAACGCCAGATAGAGATGCTTCTGCACATCATTCATGTGTCAACTGATTTTTGGAGAAACCGACAAATTTGACTAAGATAAGCATGCTTAAGCTTAGCCAGGATAATGATATCAAGTCTTAATTATATTTTAGACATATTTCATTGAGTAGTTGTTCAAAAACTACACCTAGCTCTCTAATATTTTGAAACTTCAAGCCTTAGTCGATCACCAGTAAACTTTTAATTCTTACATATCAGACTTTTTTTGTGTCCATTAGAGCCTAAAGGAACATAAACTTTATGCAGTTATATTGCCATTTTATAGGTTAACTATGATTACTGGCCGAGAGTAGATATGGACTGTAAACCAATTTTATTGCCATTGCAATAGGATTCCGGTGGTCAATGCCCAAAACTCACCTTCTTCTCAGCTATCCACAGATGCTAGTTCCTTCCGTAAATAACCATATAACGTTCTCATACATTTCCGGCATCCAATTATATTAGAAACAAATAGTGTCACATTGCAATTACGGATAGCTCGCCAGAAGGAACTGTATTAGTGATTCATTTGCAAAATGTCAAAGACGCTCTTAAGATCAACTTCCAACTCCCTCTATCCTTTTACCCTTTTAGTGAATATCCTCGCAGAACTACCACCTAAAAGGAGAAGTCCATTATCCATTTAACTTTTTCATTTGGATATTTCATGACATATATCATACAAAAGAATAACTACAAACTTCAGATAAAAAAAAATTAATCCGTCCTTAAATGAGCAAAGACTAATCTTCACGCGACACAACCCTGTTCTGAACATTCAATGCATATCTAATGCCTCGATATTCCTCCAAAGTCCAACTAAACTCAAGGAAATGAGACTTCCAACCTAATCTTGAGAAAACTACTTTTAAGTTCACACGATTAATTAGTACAAATAAATGGTCGACTTTATGAATCCCCCAATGCTTGTCTCTGACGCCTACTTACTACACCTCTTTTGTCACGCATTTTTATGAATGGATTTACTGTAGTTATCCCAAAGAAAAAGGAAAAGAAGGGAGCAAAGAGAAATGATTTCAGTAGCAAAAAATATAAGTGGTGAAATGGATCAAAGATAAGTGTGAAACAGAAAAGGCAATAAATTGATGTTTGATAAATAAAACAAAGATCCTTATCATTATACTCTCTATAAATTATTTATGCAGGTTTGAAAAAGAAAAGGAAATGTAAACTAAGTAAATCTAATGTAATGTAGCAGAAAAAGTAATACAAATGGTCATTTTTTCCCTCTGTTCCTACACAAACAAGCTTGAAAAAGTCATCTCGTCATCTAGTCACTCTTGTCAACCTGTCACATTTCTGGCAGATAGTATTATTGTTTTAATTGATTGAATAAAAGGGAAACATTACTATAGTCCAACTTCTAATAAGAAATTGCATTTTCATATGTGATCTGTCCTCTAAACTCCAAAAGTGGTTCTCACTTAAACCTTGAAGAGTAGGGATGTGCATGTGGTTTTCTGGTTCACTCTTCTGCTATTTCAGATTCATTTTTTGGTTTTATGAATATGCAAACTAAACTGAAGTGTAGTAAGTTTAGTTTGGTTCTTTTAAACTGAAGTGTAGTAAGTTTAGTTTGGTTCTTTTAATACGAAAACACGGGTTCTCCATGGGCTTTCAGCTGAATTCAGCATCTTTTTTGAAATTCCGCCGACCTGCTTCCAGTGAAAAATAAAGACTTACTTTTATTGGAAGTAGGCATGGTTTGCAGTCCATTTGAAATTCTTAGAGCAAGTTCCTTTTAAATCTTCTAAAGTATCTGAGTCATTGCCTTGACACTTATGGAACTTATAACTCATGGTTCCTTCCAAGATTCTAGTATCCACTGATCTAACGGAGGGTGAATCTTCCATCCTTTTCACATAAGACAAGAAAAGCATTTGCAATTGCTCTACTATGGACTTTCTAAGCCCTCATTTCTCTATATTCATCAACGTAACTAACTCAATAATATTAAAGTTGATCATCTCTTGTTGGATTTTTTTGGTTGATGTGAATTTTTTTGAGGCTTAGGCCCTCCATTTGGTTTCACTTTAAAATCTGGTTTAAAAAGGCTACCCAATATTGTATAGATTGTTAGTGCAAATCTATACTTTTCAACGCGAGACCAACTTAGCATGACATATAACTCCAAAAAGTAAAATAAAATAAAATATAGTTGCTCATGCTCAATCAGTCAATAGTGCCAGCAATGCTATATGTTCCAGCTACAAATCAAACACTTCAAAAAATTAATACATATGCCACCATTTGATAGTGAGGACCATCTAAAGTGAGACTTTATAGATGAAAGTCTGATATAATTAACCTGAAATTGGGAAAAAAATAAATTTCCTGCAGTTCAAACCGAAATCTCAACCAAAAGCTGTAAATTCAGATTTTTTTCGTAGAAGACTGAATTCAGAAATTAACTACATCAGATTCAGAGAGGGAACATTCAGAACATCAGCAGCATTGACCTAAAGCCCTAATTGAATAAATCTGTATAGTAAATTAAGGTTGAGAAAAAGGTTACCAGTGGGAAACATCTGGTTGATGTAATCCAACGTGTTCTGCTTATCGGATGTCGCCATGATTATGATTACTCACTCCGAAGGAGAGATCAGAAGAGAGAACGATTGAGGAGTGAGTGGGACTATTCTATAAACACAGAGTATACCATCATCTTCTAGCTTCCATGAAAGAGCAAGATCCAAAACACTGAACCGGAGTCTCTACCCATTTCTTCTTCTTTTTTTCTTTTTTCCTTCTTCGGTCTTTTTAATTTTTTCTATTTCTTTTATTAACTTCTATATTTGGAGAAAAATACTTGCAAAGTTATTAAAAAATAATTATTATTTTATGCAGAGATATAATCTGGACAAAAATATTCTAGATAAAACACGAAAAGTTCTTACCGAATTATGAAACTCCTACATATAAACTTTCAGCATATTATGTTGGAACTCTAATACATTATGAAATTCCAACACATTGTGCTAGAATTTTTCGAATTTTCAATGGTATTTTTGTTCACATTTTATTTTTTACATGAAAAAGTGGTCAAATTTCGATTAATTTTAAAATTGTGGCTAATTTTTAATTAGCATATAGTAGTGTAAATCAGGTTATTTCTGATTTTTTTTCAACCAAGCAAGCCTTTTAAATCTTTCTTTATTGTTTAGAGAATCAATTAAGAGGAAAAAAAGAAAGAAGTATGAGGAAAGAAGGAGGTAAAAAAACCAAGCAATTTAATCTTAGCAATTAAAAAGTAAAGTTAGAATACATATTATTTAATGATGATAAGTATATCTATGTAAGACATATGACTTAGCATTAATTAATTTGGTGTAAACATTAAATTTTAATTTTTTTTTATTATTGAAATAAGGATGTTACGATGGACAAGACGAGTAAGTCGGTTACCCCATCGAAACTGTTATGGTTTTGATTAAGGGGCAATTGCGATTCTGAGACCCATGTTTAAGACATAGGTGAAGTTTAAAATTTTTATAAGTTTAGGCACTTTAGAAATAATTTCGGATATACGGGATCGAAGTGACAAATATTCGCCTCCGAAGTTTTGCCTAAAGTTTGGCAATAATTGTGATTTATATTTTTAAGCTTTTTCAACAATACACACTTGATATAAATACTCTTTTCGTATCGAACTTGCAATAATGGTGCACTGCCAATGTTTTCAAAATATTTTCAAACTTTTTACAACTCGTACTTCATTTAAATTCACTTGTTGTACTCGAAATTCAAGACCCACTTTTAAAATTTATTATCAACAACTAATAATGATTTGGTGTCCTTCTCAGACCCTGACTGCTCAACTTGAGAGCGACATCTAATGTGTTCCACTTATTGAGCAATTCTATGGTTGGTTTATGGCCCTTATATACCAAAGGCGTCCTTGGAGTGATCTTGTAGTTCCTATGAGATGGAGATGATAGGATCGGCGTATGAATTTTTTTTCTTTTCTTTCACCATGTATTGATTAAAGAGTTGAAGGAAAATAGTGCATCAAGCTATTTGTAAGGACTAACTTGATCAACTTTCTTAAACATCTCACATAACAAGGGGTATAAGGATGCGCAGTTTTTTCTGACTATCAATTGAAAAACTGGATATAGGTTAAATGGCAGTATTCAAATACTCTTCGCTATGAAATTTTTACATTGATTAATTAAGTTAAGGAATTTTTTTTATCTTTTTCATGTTGCAATGAAGTTTAGTCATTTATATTCAATCACTTTCTATATGCAATCAAGTCCTCTAATTTCTTTTCTTATATATAATCCTATAACTTTTCTTGTCAGATTTCGATACAATATAATATGTTATGGAATATTAAACTATGATGGATGTCCATAACTTCCAAAGGAGTAATGCCGATTACTTTTCTTCATTATCTGCATAAATCTCACGATTCCATTACTTATGTTTGTAACATCCATTACTTATCTATGATCTCAATGGTTAATGTCATATTCACGGTATCCCTTTGTAGTACATCAATGAAATCCTATAAATATAAGATTTTGGCAACACATTGTACATACTTCCTCTCTACATTTATTGTCTTCTTTTTTATTTCATTATTATTTTGAGCCTAATTTCTTAATATGTTATCTGCACGAGTCTCTAACCATCTTCTTTGAGTTAAACCTTCTTCTTCAAATTTATTTTCTTTTCAAGTATGGTGTATATGCATAGATTGTGCTTTGTAGTTGTTATCCTAATTATACCACACTTCTGCTCATCAAACAGTAAGACGCTCTCTATCGAATTCTAAGCATATCGACAAGGTATGCATATTTTTAATAAAGCAGTTAGATGAGGTATGGACACCTAGTATAAACTATAATTATGGTTTGTAATTAGATGTGCTCCTCCTGTCATTGTTTCATCTTTAACTTCCGTCTTGGTTGTTTGGTGATACAGGATGAAAATTAAAAGGTCGTAATTTACTCGTAAAATGGTACAGTTAAATTTGTAACATGGTTCATAGATAAGCAAATTGATTTGATCCCCAAAATGATAAATAAATTAATTAAAATGCAAGACTTAGCGTTAAAATCGAGATAAGACGACAAATAACTTGGTTTCGGGAGCAGAGCTTCCGAAGACAGTATAACACTATCAATAGACAGAAACTAAAGTATTATTGAGCTTATAATAAAGTGTAGCATATGTTTGTCAGAAAATTCGTGTTTTACAATGGTTGTTGAAGTCACTATTTATAGCTGCACCTAAGGAACAAGGTCCTAGGATCAAGCCCCTATTTAAATGATAATTATGGGGGCCATTGATGAATGTGTAACGGCAGACCATGAATGCAATTATTCTCTTTAACAAATTAAGTATTTAATACTGAATAATGTTCTTTATTGAATGTCATCAAGTAGCAAACATTCGTTTGTCTTTGCTAGCAATATTCCCTTCGGTGTCAATTGAAGTTGTTGTCCTCGGTTTTGGTTTCCACATGCCTCACTTTTTGTCTGTCTCCTGTTCCACGTATCGCTCTATTATTCGAGTATTTAATACGAACCGATTTTATCCTATAAAGATAACCCCCCTGCTTTTCGGTGGCACATCTTTGTGTCATCGGAAAATTGGTGAAAATACCTTTCTTGGCGGAAAATTTTCTGATTCTTTCTGAAAAGTTTCTGACGCTTGATTTGACGTACGTCTCTCCGGATTTAATGCCCCAAACACGCGTCAATCCAGATTTAGTAATATTTTTGCCGGTTCTCGAGATAATTATGGCCACGATTTTAGCCGCATATTCCTTTACTTATACACCTCATTCTTCTTCTTTTACACTTTATAGTTTTTCAAATTTTCTCAACTTCTTTACATTCAACTCTTTCTTGCCTTCATTCTTCTTTAATATTCTTCTTCAAAGGACTCTTATTACCTTCTGCTAACCATGGATTTCTCCTCCAAGAACTCAAGTTCTCTAAACAACAAAGAAAGCATCGATGATGTTGCACCTCCTACAGTGAGCACCATCATTCCTACAAGACTCAGCCAACCAAGGACTTCGAAGAGAAGTTTCCTTCTACAAACTCTCTGATGGGGTTTTAATGTCTTTGCCTTATGTTTTGATGATCTAACAAACTTATTGTCAAGAACTAGATAGAGAACCTCACACACTTGGTACAATTTCAAATGAACGAAGTCCAGCCTGAACTCCAACTAATGTAAACTGCTGCAAATAAAGAGAAAATAGGAACAAGACATGAACCTGATCTCTGGATGTTCTCTGATAGAAGTATAAGTCAGCTATACAGCTGGAAAGCAACTGCAGAAAGTACTTGCCTGCAACTGTACATGCGACAGTGCAGTAGACAGTGCAACAGTCACTTCCCATTGGGAATAAGCGTGTACCAACCATGAACTGACATCATCCTTGTGATGTCTTTGGTAGTATAACAACATGGTGCAAATCACAAGATATTCACTTGAGCATTTAGTAATATTCTCTCAAGCATTAAAGAGTTGATCCGACATTGAAGTCATAAGTGTGTCAAGAACAAGAAGACAACTCCACTAAGGATCAGTTCCACAATGTGTCTATGTGTATCCGTAGTTGAGTTGTAATCTTATTATTTGTTCTTTTTTGTAACTCCTATCTTTCTTTCTTAGAAGCTGTGTTTTAGGAAACCCAAAATCATAAACCTTCTGAGTTTATGTTGTGACTAGAGTTAGTCATAAGTTAAAGTCTTTATAACTAGTGAGTGACAAAGTGACTTGTGGTAAGTATATCACAAGTTAGTTGAGTTGAACTCTTTGTAATAGAGTCATTACAAAGTGACTTATAATAGTGTGATTGCAAGTTAGTGAAGTTGAAACACTACAAGTGTAGGTTGTGGTTTTTGTCCCCTTGAGTGGGATTTTTCCACGTAAAGAATCCGTGTCTTATTTACTTACTGCTTTATTAGTATTCTCAGTGGAAACTCATAGAGGACCAGGTACTCTATAGTGTGGTAGATCCATATAAACTAACAATTGGTATCAGAGCAGGTTCTTTCTAAAAGGTTAACACATAGAAAGGATCTCAATGGCTGCTCCACCTAACTTTGAGGAAGGACAATCAACCTACAAACCTCCTAGATTCAATGGTCAGTACTACGGCTGGTGGAAGGCTCGTATGCATGATTTTATAATGGCTGAAGACTTAGAATTGTGGGATGTCATTTGTGATGGTCCACATGTTCCTATGATGAAACTGGACTTGGTGCCGAAAAATAGAAAAGAGTACAGTGATATTGACAGAAAAGCCGTAAAAAAGAACTATCGTGCCAAGAAAATCTTGGTATGTAGTATAAGACCCAATGAGTACAACAGAATCTCAACTTGTGATTCTGCCAAAGAAATATGAGAAGCATTGCAAACCGCACACGAAGGAACTACTCAGGTTAAACAGTCCAAGGTTGACATGCTCACCACTGATTATGAGCTCTTCAGGATGAAGGATGATGAGTCTATACAAGATATGCACACTAGATTCACATCCATCATAAATGAGCTTCATTTACTTGGAGATGTTATTCCCAAAAACAAGCTTATAAGAAAGATTCTCAGTGTTCTACCTAGCTCTTGGGAGAGTAAGGTGAATGCCATCACTGAAGCTAAAGATTTACAAACTCTAACCATGGATGAGTTGATTGGAAATCTGAAGACATACGAGATGAAAAGAAAGAAAGACAGTGAAATAAGAGAGCCAAAGAAGGAAACGAACCTGGTGCTCAAGGCT